TTACACTGTGTCCTGTAAGTATGCACCATTATTATATATCAACTAAAATAATTACAAAAGCCTGTCCCTAACTGTCATATTATCAAGGCTCTGTTTTTTTATATGGTATAGTACCACAAAGACATTAAATTAATAAATTTAAAATTATATGCAGATTGCTTATGTATCAAATGGACTTAAAATTATATGTATGTAGTTTATATATCAAATTCTGTATTGTTGTTGTAAAATATAGGACTTAAATTTTTCCACTGAAATTATTTTAAGTGTAAAATTCAAGGGCATGAATTACAGCATAATGATCAGAAGATATTTTTCCTAATAAATGTTAATCGCAATGACAAAGGCTTTTCTGTTGCTATAAAGGAGTATACTGAAACACCTTTCAGTATCTGAATAAGACTGTATATTGATGATAATTTATCTATTTTTTTATTCATTTTAATGAGAAACAAGATAACAATGAGACAGTTTCAAAACAGAGTGGTAGGACAGCTACAATAATTAATATATTGCATATTGTTGTCTTTGTAATAATTATGCAGAGGACAAGATACAGACATGATATCTTGTCTAAACAATATTAGTATAAACCTTTCTTCTCAATGCAAACAAGATACCTCAGTCCTGAGATAAACATTCTGTCTGGTTAAGGTCAGCTATCAGTTGTTAGGCAAGCTTATTTATTTGCTACCAACTTTGAAAAAGTATAAGTAAAGGATTGTCTTGTGGAAAAAAGTATCTATCTATCTCTCTACACAAAATCATAATTTATACTCAAGCTAATTTCCTGGTTTTAAAGTTTTCTATATGGGGGACCCCTCCAGACCCAGCCCAGGCCTGGCATACAGGCCTGGTGTGAAACTCTCCAGACGAAGTCCCTGAAGAGAGGCTAGGGGCCAGAACTACCCAGCTAATCCAGGAACAGAACATTTTGCCAGAGGGGCACGGCCAGTTCACTTCCACAGGCTGCAGCAGGAAGAAGCTAAGCACAGCAGCCTGACCCAAGCCAGGCAAGTCAGGACAAATTCAAACTTTGTAGATCTGAACCCGGTAAGCTGAGGCACTTTGCTAGATCCAGATCTATAAGAGCATCTTCCCTCTTTCTCACTTGACTGAGAGAGGGGGCAAAAGGTAACCAGGGTGAACTAGTCTGATTGGAAGACACCAGGTACATCAAGGGGAGGTGATCAGACAGAACTTAGGGGAACTAACTTAAATACAGTTTCCCAATTTAATATCTGCTTAGCTACACAGACATAATGCTTGCTCTTACTGTCTAAAATACAAACCCATTAGTTACAAAAGTTTGTCAACTGCTAAATATCACTACCAATATTAGTATTCCTAATTGTAGTTCTGTAAATACAAAACTGTAAATACAAAACTGTAACTGCCTTAAAAATATAATCTCTCTTGAGTAAGAATTTTGGTCAGAGGACAGTGCTATACAAAATGACAAAGAGAAGGAGCAAAATGCAGGTCCTGAGCCTACCAAAAACAAATGCAAGAGACACTAACATAGAAGAAATCGGGAATCACACAGCTGAAATATCTTGTGCCACTTAAACATAGCAATTGGTTTGATTGCAGTAATGACTCCGTGCAATAGGAGAACAAAGGCGTAGTTCAGCTTTTTCTTTCATGAGCATGGAGACACCAGCCTGTAAACTTGGCAAGATTATGTATTTAAACACTACTACATGAAGAAGAATTGAATGTGTCTTTGCTTTCCATTTCTGCTGCTGAATCTTCACATTACTGTCTTCCTTTTTCCTTATCATCTCCAAGAAATGTAATTTGACCAAGAACTTTGAAGTCAGTCATAATAGCACACACCTGTAGCCTCAGCAGTGTGGGAGGTGAGGAAAGAGGATCACAAGCTCAAGCCCATCCCGAATAATTTAGCACAGGGATAAATTCTGTGTAACGAACTAAAAATTAAGCAATTTTCAGTACTGTATAAACATCCAACAAGCCTGGAAAATTTCCAGAACTAGTCCTTCACTGGCTGAAGTATGTTGAGCTATATGTTAACTGTTACACAAGATACCAGTTGTGCCTTGTCTCAATGGAATATTCATTCACTTCTAAACTGAATTTGTGTCTCAATTTGTAAATCTATTGTGCATCTAAGTATACCTTTTTGTTTGTTTGTTTGTTTAAGCTTGTTTGTAGTTTTAGTTTATTACATGCTATTGAAAAAAGTAGGAGAGAATAAAACTCTTTTTTGTATAGCTAATGAACTGTTACAGATAGTTAATAGCTGTTACCTATCTGAATGAGATACTTTGTTCTTTGATCATATCTATTTTTCCATATCCTTATCCTTAATGACAGAATTCTTTCTCTTTTCATATCCTTAATGACAGAATGGATTTACACTCTAGAGGCTATTAGGACTTGAAACCCTATGATTCTATGAGCTAGGTTTCTGAAGCAGCACCCATCTTTTCTCATTAATGCTTCCCAGAGAGACCCTAGGGAAATCAAGACGTCTAGATGGTTTTCTTCTGTAAAGACATTAAAAGCTGATCTACTCTGTTTTCTAAACTCTGTGCATCAGGCAGTTCCTTGGAGGTAAGATGCCAGGAGGCACTGAACTCACAGAAATTCCAATGGCCACAATAAGGAAGAGGGTAAGGATGGAGAGGATGATCTGTAGTCTTTTTCCACCAAATCGCTTCCTGAGATATTCCGGCATGGTCACCACCTGCAGAGATAAATATTAGCAGTTATTGACCTTTGGAAGACCATCTTGGGAGCTCTTATCAGCTCGAACATTTGCTAGACATTGTGACCTTTGAAAAATGACAACAGCTTTGTTTCTATTTTATGAAGCAGAAAGTGAAGGTTTAATATGAAAGCTGATGTTAAGTACCTATAATAACACTAAATGCCTGGTAGACACTTAAGAAATGATTTTGCTATTTTACCTATTATATTTTAGTCATTAAAAGAAATATTACCTGCAAATAATTAGATACAACTATGATTAAGGAATAATTGGTCATTGAATAAATTATAAATATACACTTAATGTATATTTAATCATATTCATATGATTATCTTTTTGGTTTTTTCATAATTTTATTGATAAATAAATAGCAATGAGACAGTTTCAAATCAAATCACTAGGACAGTTTCAATAATTAACACACTGCATACATTCTTCTTAGTGGTTAATTGCTGTACAAGATGTGGACTTGAGATCCTATTTACAA